AAAGAAGAAAAAATTTATAAGATATCAAATAGAGAAACGCTAAAGGCACTAAATACAGTCTATCAATATCTTTTGCAACAGAAGGATGATTTGAAGGAGTGTGTTAATATGATTTCAATTGTTTCTGGAGTAGTTGCAAAGTTATCATTAAATGACATACATATAGAATAGTAATTATAAGATTCATTCTGAATATTATAGTAGGAAAGAGTATTGTCATATTCGAGTGGGTTAACATATAACGATAGTATATAACTTTGTAAATTAAGCACATTTATATTTTCATGTAATTTGTTTTTCTCTAGGATTTCATCATTAATATCAAGCTCCGGAATTTTAGGAAGAATTTTTGTATGGTGGAAGCAATTGTAAATAGTTGTTGAAGAAACATTATTCCAGGCAATCTTGATGAATTTTATAGCGTTAAGTATATTCATTTTATTTTTGGTTTCTCCAGATTCGTATTGTTCTAAAAGCCATTTAATAAAATATAAGCGATAATGACGTTTAAATAACATTATAATACCTGCGTCCAATGGTTGAATCCTTGAAGTAGTATTTGGAGGCAAAAAATAGACCGATGTGTTTCTAAGATTTATCGTATTGATAATATGTTCTGATGCATTATCTAGTAAAAGAATAACATTACGTCCAGTCATTCTTTCATCAAACATTTTCAATCATAGTGTGAATATGCTTCCTGTCATCCAGGCTTTTTTATTGGCCTCATATATAATACCTAGATTGTTTCGATTAATGCTTCTAAAGCAGTGAGGATTTTGGGATTTTCCGATAACAAGTGGTTCAAGCTTATCAACTCCAGTAACATTCGTACACAATGCGACAGTTAATCGTTCTTTATTTTTTTTTCTTCCTTTAAGTCGAGTTGTTGCTAGCGTGGTATCGGGTTTAAGGCTAAAATAAAAAAACAGGTTAATATAAAAAATTCTATATATGTATATTTAATACTCATACCGATAAAATAATCCAGTTTCATCCATATTATATATGTCCTCCATATTATAACTTGCTAATAAATTTTGTAATTTAGGAATTTCATTCGTGGCAGCATCATGATCTGCAGAAGCATCTTCGCCATGTAATTTTGTTTTTACAATTCCATATCTTTTTTTAAACTTCGATAACCAACCATTGGAAAATTTGAATTGATCTGTGGATATATCCAGGAGTTGCGCGAAACATTTTGCTTTTTCGGTAAGTATTGCATCTGACAATGGTACATGAGTTTGATATTGTACAACCCATTCAAATAATGCATTTTCAAGATCGGGATATTTAATAGCTTTTACTCTTTTTGTAGAAGGATTTCCTATAAGACTGCCTTTTCGTTTTAATAATCATCCGATAGTAGTTTGGTGAATATTAAGGTCAAATTCTGTTTTTATCCAATTGGCAATATCTGCTTGACTTGAGTTAGGATTTTTATCTTTATATTTAATAACTTTCTGTCTTTGCTTATTTGTTAATGTATTTCTAACAATTTTTCGAGACATTTTTTTAGTAAACAAAGTTACGAATAAATTATTAAATTTATTATTTCTTTAATTACGTATATACATAAAAAGATCATATTTTTATTGATATATAATGACATTATTTAATTTGTCTTATAATAATCAAGTTTTCAGTTTATTATTTAGCATTATTTATATCGATATACATTCTCGATACATGTAATCATATCTATAATAAAAAAAATAGAAAAATCGATATAATTTATTCCAGATAGCAGTAATTAAATCAATCAGATGATCTGTATATTAGAGGGTATGGTTCAGATAGCGGTAATTAAACCAGTCAGATGATCTGCATATAGAGGGGTAGGTTGCATTTATGGGGTGTGCACTTATCGAGAGTCGACTGTAATAGATTTTTATTAATACAATATATTATTGAAATTTATTGAAATTGATTTAAAAAAGTATTAATTATCAAATATTATTTTTAAATTATAATATATTATTAAAAGAATATTTAATAAAAATTAATTTTATAATACAAAATTTTTAATTTAGAGCTTTATTATAAATTTAATTAAAATAAGCAAATCGATAACTTTTATTTTATAATAATTCTAATTAAATATATTTTATATAGTATATTAAATTTCAAATAAATAGATTAATATACAGTATAAAAAATTAATAGAAATTTTATAAATAATAGAAATCAAATATGATTGTCGAATATGTCATAAGGCTTTTTAATATGTGAAATTTTTTTGTCGAGTGCAAAATTATACCGCATAAGGCTATTTATATGGATTTGAATTTGGAAATATGAAATCATGCTAAAAATAATTTTAGCAAATGGTTAAATCGCTAAATACGGTACACGTTGATAAACGATTTTTTTTTGATGCATTGGGAAAAAATCTGGTGCTTAGGATCGGGTTCTAGCGTCTAACCATCCCTGTCGATCCCGTAAAAGTGTTATTGCCGAAGGTAAAATTTATCCTTGGGGGAATTGATTATAAGTCTTAAAAACTTTAAATTATTCGACGCAGCAATATTTCTTGACGGTATGATACATACTTTATATTTACACAGTAACATACAGCATGCGGATACGTATATACGGTTTAATATGTTAATAATTCTAATTTGAGGACAAATTCCCGGAATGTTACGGACGCATTGTCGTTCAAGGAAAACATATAGATTAATTAAGTACACAAGTCGATGTTGTATCTTAGATTTATCGAATACGGGAATTATACATTACACAAATTTGCAATAATGAAAACATACAAATAATTGCGAACCGCCGGATACAAAAGGTATCTGCCGTAGGATATATTCTAAATGGTTTGAACGTTTATCGAAATAATTTCCTTTCCTTTGATAGTGCCTGCTTATTGATGAAGGAAGTCTGACCTCACCTGCGTCATGCTAAGATTTCTTGTGCATCGTCTTTTTTCCTTTTGGGCCATCGTCAACCCGACTGCAGCCACCGCAAAGGTTTTAGAGTATATTTATATTACTGAGATTCTTTCCCTAGCTCACAAAGATTAGTTTCCATCTCCGCCGTTATAATAAA